TCCTGTCAATAGAAAGTAACCAGTTACTCCCTTTTCATGGATAGTCATGAGTGGTACAGAATTTGTCCAACAAGGATGGTTTTCCTGATTCCCGAGATGGTAAATATGTGTTTGAAGAAGAAGAGGGGTGAGGGAATGATTGATAGGGTTATTGATAGAAGGAAGGTATATAGGAGAGATACAAAGAAGAAGAGAATAGATGAATTTGAAAGCAAATTTAAAAAAAATCAATTTAAGTGTTCATCCATTCCAAACAATGAAATACTTCAAGCTTTCATATCTAACATCTTTGCCTATTTTTTTCCAAAATTCTCTGCCTCATTTCCCAGAGTGTTTTTTTTCTGTATGTGATGAGCACATCAAGATTTCTGCACATAAAATCACATACACACAATCAAAGATGCTGTTAGAATCATGTATTGAGTTGACATTATTTTTTGCCACCAAATCCATTAATTAAAAGTGCATGCTTTTTCCCCAGAATAGAGATATTCAGTCTATAATATCCCTCCAAAACTTCTTGTGAAAAATACCACATATTTTATTTCTAAAACTAGAAGTCTACAAAAACAAATGCCTGACTTATTTGGCATTCTAATTGAGTCAATGTTCCTTTTTAAGGGAGATACTGAAAATGCCAACTTAATTTTAAATTAAAAGCTGATTTTTACCAAAAGGTACCTCTATTCACAGAATCACACAATTTAATGAGTTTTCTAAGAACAAAGCAAAGAGTGACACTTTTTGTTTCACACATATACCAATTGAATCATGAGTTAAAAGTTCATTACAACAGAAATGTAATTAAAATGGGGTTTAAAATACAGTTTTCATTTTTCTCCCTAAAATAATCATTAGGAGGTTTCCATGGAAATACTTTTGTACTTTAATATCACATGTAAATAGCTATTTATTCACATATTTGTCTAGAATCAGTGCAAAGTCACCGTGATGGTTCAGGAATATTCGGAAGGAGGATAAATATACTGAAAGGCAATTGTTTTATCTTTTGATTTGGACAAGACCCAAGCATATTCCTGTATGATTACCAATTATTTCAAAGATAATCTTTCAAGAGTTAAATTCTCATTTGGAGACTATGCAATGCAAGATGTCCATTTGTTTAAGCCATTAAAATATAACAAATCACACACCTAAGTGACAGAAAACGCAAAAGTGCCAAGTTTTAATGAGTAACAAGGAATGTTATCTATGTATCTTACATGCAATAACCAGCGAGTCATTGAGTGGCCCAGCATCCACCTAACATGTCTGACTCCAGGAGCTTAGTCTAATGGCCATAGAAGACAATCAGACATAACAGCAGGCAAAAAGATAATATTCTCAGTTTTATTGTCAAAGCATCAGGTCTAACAAAGAAGTGTCTATTTCTTTACCTTTTGGTGACTACATTACACAATAAAGATTTTATCAGAAGAAGCACCAAAGACTTAAACACAATCACCATTTGAAGCGTACAGTTATGTTGGGTAAGCCACTTAAAATAAAGTCTATTTAAAGTAGTGTGGATTTAATGGAACCTACGTTGTCAAAGCATTCTAAATATCTACCTCAATTTGAACGCCCTTTGTCTGTCATGCTGGAAGTTGCCTAGATATTAAAAAATAACTCATTTCAGATTTGCAGCTTTGTGGACTAGTCTGATGCAGGATTTTTCAAATGAGCAAAAATATTCTTTCAAAACTAGAAATAAAGGTATTTTAATGTAAGAGAACTGTGAAGGCTAAATTCAACATCCAAATCCACCACGGTCCCTCACAACAGTGAGAACTCTTAACAGCTCTAACAGAAGCCGTTCTTTAGTCTTGACTATTTAGATCATTGTTTAGAAAAGGGATTTATTTCTCTGTTTTTGATATTTGTGAAGTTCATGTATTTGTTTCATTTCACAACACTTTCTTTGGCTTCTTGCAATTTTTGAGGGCAAGAAAAATGTTGGTTATTAGATGTTTATAATTCTCTACCATGGTAAAACTCACATGCATGCGCGCGCACACACATACACGCAGATTTGAGTTTATAAATTCTGCTGAATAAGTCATGGATGGAGCTTCATATGGAGAAATTAAATTGAAATACCAAAGTAAGTAAAATAATATTTTAAAAAACACGGGAAGGAAGAAATCCATTATTTATCTGGTAATATAAGGTCACTTTGTCTTGGGCATTTCAAACTGTCCTCTCCACCCCTCGACCTTCTTTGTCACACATACACCCCCACACACATACACTCTAACCAAAGTAAAGTGATTTGGTTGGTCATTCAGCAGAATGTTCGAAAATGTACGTAATAATAAAAATAAATTATTTTATATGCCTGAAGTTAATTTAAACCAGAATATACAGAAATCTCCCAAACATACAGTGAGAATATTTGTTGTACTGATTGACATGTTTGTACAACACTTTTTGAAAAGTGTAAGAAAACAAAAATATTTAAGATAGTTTATTAACTTCATTATAATAATACATAAAATTACATATTAAAAAAAGTAGTATAGCAATTTAGAAACATTGCTATTTTTACACTGATATTTCAAAAAACTTTTATTAAAACTCTCCTTGTCCTTCTTCAGTGTTAGTGTATGAATCCTTTCTGGGTCCACTTTTTGAATCACATAGGTGTTTTAGAACAATTTTCACTTTCATCAAAGTTGTGTAAAATTATGCATGATGCATGTTTCCATTACTGAAACTTTCATACCAAGCCACAGGGCCCCATTCATATCACCTTAGAATAGGCTTATCTTTTACTTATCATACAAAGTTATACTCATGAGGTCTATAATGTAACTGCTTACTCTATTGCTATTTGTAAGGAGATTTTTAAGTCTTTCTTTTACTTCTTTTTTGCAGGGAAAGATTTGCCCTGAGCTAACATCTATTGCCAATCTTCCTCTTTTTTTTTTTTTTTTTTTTGCCTCCCCAAAGCCCCAGTACATAGTCGTATATCCTAATTGTAGGTTGTTCTAGTTCTTGTATGTGTGCTGCTGCCACAGCCTGGTAACTGACAGATGGGTGGTGTGGTTCCACTCCTGGGACCAGAACCTGGGCCGCTGAAGCAGGGAGCGCCAAACTTTAACCACTAGGCCATCAGGGCTGGCTCTATAAGGAGATTTTTAAAAGGTTTATTTACAGTTAATATCTATCCTTGTAATTGTGAAATCAATTCTCAGGAATAATTAGGAAATCTGACAAATTTATTTCCCTCCGTTTTTTTCCTGGTTACTTTTTATCAAGCGGCTTCTATAAGCACCCTAAACAAGCATTGATTGAGGTCGTTTCCCATTAATACCTGTTCCCCTTTGTTATTCAAAATAAAGCAACTCAGAGATCATTGGATAATATCAGAAACTCATAGAAGTCCCTGCGAAGGTGACTTCTTGTCTTCTGCAAGGGGAGAGGGGAAGACTTGGGGGCAGGAAATGCTGTAATTTGGCATTTATGCTACTATTTTGAACTCATAGAATTTTCTTGACACCAGATACTCTCTCTCCACCTCAAGGTTCACAAGACTGGTGCGATAAAAAGAAAGTTGGCCCATAGAGAGGGCATTCTAGGAAAAAGCCATTCAAAAAGGAGCCAGATTTCTGGGACCATGATGCATTGTCTCCTTCCTCTCCTTCTGACTTCCCACATACCATGGGAAGCACACACTGTTTGTTCTTTTTCAGGAAGCTTTGGGGAGTCAGCAAGCAAGTGTAACTCCATCTCACTACCTAGCTGAATGTAGTCCACAGAATCAAAAATTATGGGGAAAATTCCTTAGGGGCATGGCAGTTTCATAAAAGGTTAGGAGCTGACAACCATGTATCTTAAGATAATTAGTGACACCCTGGCCTGCAGCAAAATCTAGGTTGGTAATCAATACTTGAAAAGTAAGGATATTTAGATGCTGAGTCAAGTAGACTTTCTTAGCTTGGAAAAAGATACCAGATAGACAAAAAAGGCAGATGTACTGCTACAAACTCCCTTTTACCTTGTTACTTCTTTCTGTCTAATCATCATTGTTCACTCATTCTACAGAAATTTATTATCTATCAAGTACTGTGGTAAATTCAACAGAAATAGAGACAGAGTAGTCCCTGATGGAAGCAGCTGGCAGCTACCATGGACTTTTTCATAATAATAGTAGTTACAAAATTAATAGTATTTATTGAATACTTACTATGTGTTTTACATGCTGCTAATCACTTTACAAGGAGCAAATTTATCCAATTCGCTTAACAAGTTCATCAGTAAGTATTGTTATCATTTTGTACAAAGAATGAGACTAAATCTTGGAGAGGTTTAAACATTTTGGCCAAAACTATACAACCAGCAAGCAGTGGGAATAAGATTTACATCCATGTGTACCTGGTTCTAGAACCTACACTCTTAGTATTAAATTCTGGTAGGTGATTTGTTTTTAAAGGAACTATTCTGGGTCAGGTTAATGCTTCTGGGTTCTTTTAACAATTTAGAAAACCTCAAACAGAGGCAGAATTTCAGCTCTTATCTGTTCTGATATGCCTCTGCCATCGTTAAGAAGCAGTGGCTGAGTTTCTTTTTCATTGTTTTTAGGAATCAGTAAAACAATCCGAATTTTGCATATAGCTAAAAGAAAATCTCGCTCAACTTATCCTTGGCTTTCTAATACCCAAACCAATGAAGATCAGCTTGGAACATCAGCAATAAGAAGATAAAACTAAGCTCAACTAGTTTGAGTCAACGGTATGAATGCTTACTGATTTTAAGTGCTTGTCTTGATATTAAATGGCAGTGTTAATTAATGATCAAAATAACAAGCATGGATTTTTGCAGTATTTCCTATCTACTGCTAAAACCTGCCTCCATATTTCTCACCTTTATGTCTTTGGACGTGATGGAAACAAATGAAACTAGGCATGAAGATACGTGAGGGGTGAATATTGGTATGTATAACTGACAATCCAATGGGATACGATAAAGAAAATGAACAAGGCAAAAGAAAAACTTACCCAGTATTTCTCATTTGAAAAGGCTCCAGAAAATACAACTCTCAGAGGAAAGTAATTGCAGACAAATATCTGTGTTTACCAAAATGTGAAATGCCTGGGAAGGGCAGAAATCACTGTTTCTGTTCCTCTCATTTTGTATCCTTATTGATCAGAGTGCTGTAATTTTCATGGCGCTGAGGGGAAAAGACAAGCAAGTAAGAGTGTAATTATTCAGAATGGAGGTTTGGGAGCAATTTTTGTAATCAATAACCTAACCCTAGAACGTAAGAGAGTAATATTTAAAACTGTGTTCACAGGAGATTCAGTTGTATTGATCTGATTCTGTTGGAGCACTTTTCCTGAAATAGCATTCTCACTGAATCCTATCTGAATAATTATATTTAAAAATTTCCTTTGCATTGGTTAGGAGGAAAATGCCCCTTAAAAGTTGAGTACCTTCCTTCACTTTTTAAAAAAAATCAGCTTCATGTACTATGTAGGAAGATATTAGGATTTTTTAAAATCTTGCCTTCAGTGCTCAGGAAAGAGGAGATGATCAAAAGTAGGTGGCTCTTGACAATTTTTAAGTAGGCATACCTCTTAAATTAAAAATCCAGTCTTCCCACATTTGCCTTTTGACTTCTAGATGTTGTCAATACAGAAGGGACAAATAGAAAAAATAATGATTTTCCTTCTCTTTAGGGCACCCTATTTATGATGTCTCAGGCATAGGGAAAAGAAATAAGTTGTTCTTTTCTACTTGGCCTTTTTGAGTGGGATTATTAATTTTCTCTTATAAAAGTATTAATATATTTTAATTAATTTAATTAATACATTAAAAGATGTATGCAGACTACTAAAACAGCATGGTACTGGTACAAACACAGGTGCACAGATCAATGTAACAGAATTGAAAGCCCAGAAGTAAAACCATGCATCTATAGACAGCTAATCTTTGACAAAGGAGCTCAGGGCGTAGAATGGAGAAAAGAAACTCTCTTTAACAAATGGTGCTGGGAAAACTGGACAGCCACATGTAAAAGAATGAAAATTGACCATTCTTTTTCACTACTCACAAAAATAAACTCAAAGTGGATCAAAGACCTAAAGATTAGACCTGAAACCATAAGGCTTCTAGAAGAAAATATAGGCGATACACTCTTTGACATCAGTATCAAAAGGATCTCTTTGGACACCATGTCTTCTCAGACAAGGGAAACAATAGAAAGAATAAACAAATGGGACTTCATCAGACTAAACAGCTTCTTCAAGGCAAGGGAAAACAGGATTGAAACAAAAAAACAATCCACTAATTGGGAAAAAATATTTACAAGTTATATATCTGACAAAGGGTTCATCTCCATAATATACAAAGAACTCACACAGCTCAACAACAAAAAATCAAATGACCCCATCAAAAAATGGGCAGGGGACATGAACAGACATTTCTCCAAAGAAGATATATGGATGGCCAATAGACGCATGAGAAGATGTTCATCATCGCTGATCATCAGGGAAATGCAAATCAAAACTACAATAAGATATCAGCTTACACCTGTTAGAATGGCAAAAGCAACCAAAACAAAAAGTGACAAATATTGGAGAGGTTGTGGAGAAAAAGGAACCCTCACATACTGTTGGTGAGAATGCAAACTGGTGCAGCCACTATGGAAAACAGTATGGAGATTTCTCAAAAAAAGTAAAAATAGAAATACCATATGACCCAGTGATCCCACTACTGGATATCTATCCAAAGAACTTGAAATCAGCAATTCCAAAAGTCCCATGCACCCCTATGTTCATTGCAGCATTATTTACAATAGCCAAGACATGGAAACAACCTAAGTACCCATCAACTGATGATTGCATAAAGAAGATATGGTGTATATATATACAATGGAATACTACTCAGCCATAAAAAAGGATAAAATAGTCCCATTCACAACAACAGGGATGGACCTTGAGGGTATTATGTTAAGTGAAATAAGCCAGATAGAGAAAGACAAACTCTGTATGACTCCACTCATAGGTGGAAGTGAAACATGTAGACAAAGAGAACTGGTTGGTGGTTACCAGGGGAAAGGGGGGAGAGAGGGTAGTCACAAAGGGTGAAGTGGTGTACCTACAACATGACTGACAATCACGTACAACTGAAATTTCACAAGGTTGTAAACTATCATAATCTTAATAAAAAGTAAAAAAAAAAAAAAAAAAAGATGTATGCAGAGAAAAATGTGATAATGAAAAAAATAAATAAAAGACTTTTCTTTTAATCATACGGTTGCTAAACTCCCAAATGACAATAGTTACTACGAATAGCATATTCTCTTTATATAGAGATTCTCCCCACCAAGTGCATGGATTTTATTTTGTTTAGTTTTCTTTCTTTATATACATTTTACGTAATTTTATTTTCTCTTCTACAAATATTCAGAATTGTAGAGGGATCATTCTGATCTCCAATCACTTTGTTTTAACTAGAGGAATCAGATGATGTTTTTCTTCCTCAGACACCAAGAAAGTCCCAAGCAGGTGAAAACAAATAAGGATGGAAGAGCAGAAATTAAGATGGGTGAGCACTTATGAAAAGGCCATTTGTGGCTCCCCTCATTTCCTTTTTCCACAACCTTTTATGATTTCTCTCCCATGTGAAGAATGTGTGAGCATTTCTTTTACCATAAAAAAATCTCTGGGTCTTCAAGAATTTCTGTGCTGTTTCTTCTTCAGTATAAATTCCTTAAAATGAGTTGTGGAACTGATAGTAAAATATGACAGCCATTCTCTCAGGGGACAGTAAAATATTATTCCAGGGAAAGAAAAATGAATTTTGATTTTGAAATTTAGTGAAAGGATACCAGGGCTTAAGAGTCCAAAGATATGAGTTTAAAGTGTGAGCTCCAACACTTATGAACGATGTGATCTTGAGAAATTGATATAATATCTTTTATCTGAAAAATTGAAAATTAAAGTAATTAATTCAAAGGATGTCCTGAGGATTAAATGAAATAACACCAAAAGGCACTGCAGACTATCCTGTAAATGTACATCATTGCCATTCTCATCCCTCTGCTAAGATTAGTGACAACAGGTCAATCCAGATATTTTCTACTCTTACATTTGTAAGCCTATGTGCGTGCGCATCAACTAACTTAACAAGATTACCTATTCCATTGTTAAATAATATCTAGGAATATTTCAGAGAAAACATCTTCCATTGGAAATAATAATATTGTGTGCTTTCACACAAATTTTAATGTTTGGAAGTCTATAATTCCTAATATTTTCTTGCAGTATGTGTCAATGACCAAATTACCACAGAAACAGAATTCTTAAAAAAAATGTTGGAAGTATAGTGATTTGCTTTAATGCAGGTAATTTAACTTCAGGCTTTAGGTTTTGTAAGTAGGGAGAATTATAGCTGCAACCTCTGGATCTCCAAACACGCATTTTCTTTGGCCCAGTTAACAATGCAACTAAACTCTGACCCATAGATTTCCAGCTTCACCGACCCAGTTTCTCTTGCACTAAGATAGAGTGATAGAAAACAGGTCAGTAGTTTCGCCTGGGAACATATGGTCTCTGGGGAATGGACTGAGACCCCCCCAACTGAGGACAATGGACAGCCATCTGTTAGGAGTAGGTAATGAATAAGGAAGTCCATCCTCGAGGCCAGGAGCATTGATTAGATTTTTTGCTAGATGAAGCTCTATCCATTCCTGATGATCTTCTGATCTTAATTTATTTTCTCCATCATGACCTAAGTCAAGGTCTCAGGAAATGAAAAACTAACTCGGTGCTGTGATAGACGTTGCTCTAATATTGAGGCTTGTTTAATAACGAAAAACAATAGAAACAACTATTTTCACCTGAACATTAATACTGTGCTCTGAACATGTATTTAGAGGTACATCACCTATAATATTTAAGGTATCCTTATTTTTTCCTAAATGAAACTAGTCCTTCTATTTTCATTGCCTTGAAGGTGTTGAACAAATGTAGAATAATTACCTATAGCTCAGGAATTTTTCCATATCTATCACTCAGAAGGTTTTTCTTCTTTACATTGTACATTACAAGTGTTCCTTTAAGTATTTAACTATGGATCATCAATTTACTTAAATTTTAAAATGGCAAAGGGCCACATAAATTATAAAAATGAAAGTATACTGAAAATGGACAAGGACCAAATGTATGTTTTATGAAAATATATGATAATGAGAGGAATAATAAATTCTAATGTAAATATAAGTTTCTCTCAAGTAATGGCTACCACATCTATTTTGGGGGTTTAAAAATTAAAATGCTGTAATAGATCACTTTTATTAAAAAACACTACGCAAGTGTTTCACATTCAATCTTGACATTTTCTTATCTCAAGCTGCTAGAAGAGCTTGGAAAATATTAAATTATCAGTAAACATTGCTGAGTCAAAACAACCTTGTGAGGTAAGTATTATTAGTGGCTCTAATTCACAGATGAGGAAAATTAGAATAAGCAGAGACTTCTGGCTTTAACTTCTGCATGTAAGGAACTTGGAAGTCACGACTTCATCCTAACAACAAGTAAAAACTGAACAGACTGAAAAATCAACAACTTTTTTTGGACCTGTAAGAGAGGTGAGAATGCAGGAAAACCACTGACCCCAAGATTGGAGAGACAGACAGGCAAATATGGAGAGACAAGGCTTACCTAAGTAGAGATTCAGGAAAGGAGATCATCCTGGGAACCGTGCCAGGGTAGGAAAACCTGAACTATAATTGATGAATTCCTGGAGGCTTAGTGTGGACAACTCCAAGAGTTAAAAACTCCAAGGGAACCCAGTCATAAGGGGTCCTCCACAATATTATGAGTTTTACTTCTAGGAACTCCACCAGGTACTCACAGTAAATATCAAACAAAAATTCCCTCATGCTTCTGGCAGGGAAAGGTGAAAAGGAACCATTCTGAAATACACCAGAGCATTCTAGTGTTCTTAATGAGGCCTTTTCTGGGGAGAAACTAGTTAACCACAGCCTAGGGGTATTTTCAAGGCCTAACTGACTTGGAGGAAGGGAAATTTCCAACTATGTTCAGCTGTAGCTTTTCACATGAGAGACAAGAAATACCCAATGCCAGCCCACTCTAGCCGTCCTGTCCCACATAAGATGAAAGAAAAAACTGAGAAACACTGTGAAGTTCACAGTCCAGAGGCATA